GTAATTATAGTTAATTAGTCGTAGTTAATTGCTTTCTTTGACGAGAAACTTCTCAAACAGATCCACTGTGCCAACTTCATATTGTGCACATTGGGGCAAAACAAAAATCGGGTCGACGTCCAAATCAGTTTATGGTCATTGTTTGGCTGTCCACATGAAATTGAGTTTCGAAAATTAGCGTCTTAAACTAATCCGTTTGAAAATCATCTTTCAAGTAAGGTCAATTGTTAAATTGGCTTCTTGAAATATAGAGAATAGCCGAAAACGCGAATCGTTTAGAAGCTGTTTTGGTAGTTTTATCCTGACGATTATTAGATGATGGTCGCTACTGCGTTCGAGGATTCGGGACAATGAGTTGTAAGGAGCATTTTGGGGAAAACCTTTTAATTTAAGGTTGTGAATGTTTAGATTTTGTCTTAAGCTTGTTTGCAGTCAGGTTCGGTTTTACAGCCGTTATGAATCCGTGATTGACTCTCAGCGACCTTTTACCTTAGACAATAATTCGTCTGTGAAACTGGTCATCAATCGTCAGCTGTTGTTCATCTTAATCTTGATTTTCTGTGACCGCTTTTCCTTTCGGGTCGCGGAGGCAGACGTGTCAGACAGTACTTCCAACGTTCTCGATCCTGTGCCAGAGTCTGAGCTTCGGCAAAAGACAAATGGAGTCTGGAACAGACTCCTTCCACATATTTGCACCAGGTTGATCTTAGCTGTCCCCTGGGCCTTCTGCCGGTCGGATTCGCAAGAAACAGTTGCTTATCCTTCCTTTCTGAAGGCATTCGCAACACGTATCCAGCAGTTCCATTATAGTACGTCAGAAAGGGCAGCTGTTGTCGTTAGCATAAAGACGAGACGTCAATACTAGACTTTAAAAAACGTTAAAAAATGATTTATCACACAACTTTGTATGATGTGCAGGTGTTGGCACATCGGACCTTATCTTAGGGGTGTTTTTCAGGATAAGATGTCTGCGACGTGATTGTCTGACGCAGCTGATCGAAACGAAACTCTACACTCGTTTTAGTTGGCAGATTGTAGACAAATGCGATCATGTATAATATTGATGAGCAGGTAACACCACCAGATTGCGAGTCATAGCCTTGCGAACTCTTTCATACTCCTGGATACTAATGGACTATTTTGGAAGCCCCAGCCTCACAGATCAGTTTCACTTGGTTTCATTGGCAGTATGTTTCTAATCACTAGGAACACTGCACGAGCGAAGAACGAGATGTATCAATGCGCTGCACGTTGTAAAATAAATACTTCGAAATCTTGCCTTGTTACAGTGGTGGTCACCTACACAACTAGGAGCAAGAAAACAGCAATTACGACTTGCGATTCTGCTTTGTAAGACTGCGCACTTGGTGACGAACGCACATTGGTCACACATTCGTATTTTTAATATCCTGCAAAATCATATAAGAAGTATTGGCCTTTGAGCATCACTATCTACGAGCAAAGTGTTTTTTGGCTGGTAAAAAAATGCGACGTGTGTACGGGCCGTGGCTGCTCAAATTCCCTGGAACAGTGCTTTGTTTCAATGGCCTCCTTGAGACATGGGTGAAATTTGTTGTTGTGGAAGTTTGACATGTTCCGCTCTGTATAATATATGCTAGACCAAATATAAAATATGAATGATTATTTATAAGCAAGCTAGAGGCCCAGGACGAATCATATGGATTTAATTCGATAAATGACAAATGTCATTATTCATTCGGAGATATGGCAAATGTGGAAGTTTGAGCAGTTCTGTTACGCCGGATTGTCCCTTTGTTTATGTAAAGAATTTTACTTATTGCGTAAAAATAGCCGGTTGTCGGTCAAACATACATTCAGCAGACTCTGTACTCAGAAAATATGCTCAAAAGAAGATATGCTCTAACTCAACTATTTTTTAAAAGCAACAACAGAAATACTGTCACTGAGTCAAAACATCGAAATTGGTCTTTTGAGTTTTAAAGGGGGTAGATCTACAGGGCTGATTCAAAATTGAGCAAAATCAATGGCAAGTGAGAATCTCATGATTGACAGGGAAGACATTGCCAGCAGTTCTAGAAGTGAGCATCGATGATGTCATATCATAGGAATCAGAACTGAAGAGAAGAATCAAGTAATTCAGTGACGAATGCGGCATAATGACGGTACTCCCACAGACTTCAGGGAACAGTTCTTCTGAACTGCCAGAATTCCACCTCTACAGTTAGTCGTACTAGGAGGCCAGAAGAAAATTTTAAAAACAGAACGTGTTGTTGTATCGCCGTTCATTATCTAAGGCTACCCTGTCAAACTGCCTCTATATGTTCTATTTATTATTCTTTTACAAACCAAGCATTGAACTCACTGAAATGATTAAAAGTGGCCATCAAACACAGGGTATAATTATACCAAAGTTAAACTTTTCCCACAGATGGTTCGCTAATTTTGGGTGCATGTTGTGGATCTTATTTAGAATCTAAGAGTGACGTCGCATTTCTCTGGATCTGCGCTATACCTTTTTATTAATAATGAAAGTACTTTCGTAAGCACGGGGCTGATGTTTTTCCTTTTTTCATAAATTTTACTGCTGTGTATGCGCAGTCCCAGGGAATTTCTGTTAAAAGATAGCCTTATTGTCAATTTTCTTCGTGTTTACTGGTATCACTCGGTAGGCAACGACAGTAACTTTGGTCCAGCTTGCTCATGATGCTTTGTCCTCCTTACAGATGGCAAACCGCATGGTGAAAAGAACTCGTTGTCGTTTCTCGAGGATTAATACGAATGATGGCTTTCGATGTTTGCATCCAATTTGTAATCGAAACTCTCTTTCTAGTCAGAATTCCATAAGAAGTATAACCCTTTATGGTAGACCCACTGCTGCCTGCCTTACCGGTGATTTGAAAGTAAATACAC